TAATCTTAGGGTGCACAGGAGGATGGGACAAAATAACAAGCCTCTCTTTTTCCTTCCGCCTCGTTATTCTGCAGCATCAGACCGAAAAACTGATCCATAGTGCCAGTCTCAGAGCAGCGTCCCAGCGCTCTTGACAACTTTTATCGTATCTCCCTTGTTTTGTGTGTCGCTGAAGCGATTTCTATCACATCACGATCAGATTGCCTGCGCCCCCCTTCATACCTTGGGACCTAATTGGCTGGTAGGCAAACGAGTTCACCGGCTGTGTCGCTGCAGTGCCCTTGTTATCGCCGTCGCCATTCACTCAAGTGCCAAGTGTGCTGCAAAAGGAATGGTGCAAACACTGATTGGCTACAACCATCGACGATGATTGGCTGTCGGACCTCGTGTCCTGCCTTTCTATCAAACCTTTATGCTGATTTAGGGATCGTCTGGGTCGGCAGGCTGTGTCTCGTGGCTTATGCGCGCTCATTTATTATGCTATAAGGCGAAGGTGCTCGGCCCATTGTTGCAGGGCTCTCCATGGCGCAACCACTAGGCCGCGAAGCAAATGCTGCGGTAGCGCCCAGTTCTGTACCCTGGTGTAAGTGGTGAGGATCCCTGGCTTGTTTCCTGAACTTATGCGATCCACAGCTTCGTCCGGGGAGTCCCAGCACAATCGATCGTATTGGAAGTCCTGCCCTCCAACCTCTGTCATGATCGAGAGCGAACGTATGTCTCTTCGGATCCCCGTTGTCGTTTTATTCTGAAGTTTCTCTGTCCCTCCCATAGAGGCACCAGGAGTCCATCCTTTCGAAAACTCCATACGAGGAAGTAGCCTGCCAACGACGACGGCACCGGAAATTGGAGAGTTTGGAAGGAAGAGCAGTCGTGAGCTTCTGAAGAGGAATCAATCCTGTCAGATTTGTCACGAAGTTCAGCAACCTGTAAGTGGACATGGCGGTCGCTCCCTTTATCATTCAACGATCTTCCGAATAGTGCGATGGGAAACATCCTTGCTTGAGGTGCACCGCACTTGGGGTGGTATGTCGATCTCGATTCCGACCGTCGTATCCTCTCATTCCCTTCCTCCCAGGCCGGCATCTGCCAGTATGGATACGATGCATCTTCAGCGGAAGAGGCGACAGATGCAAGTACCCATCCAAAGTCGACTCATCTTGGGAAGTCGGACGTCCTAACGGGTAGCCTCACAAAGTTACTGAGTTCCTCCGCCTCATCGAGTCGGGAGTCCTCTGAGGCTTCTTCGAGTGACCTTGACTCCAAGACGCTTCCCCTCCCCCCTGACATTGACATCGTACCCCGAGTCAATCCTTTAGCCCTCGATATGGATATCACAAGTGCTCGCCCTCGACCCCGATCCGCGCCTGGCTTCGTTTCATCACCGCTCAACCCGGAGAAACGGACACCACCGTCCGCTTATGGCCGTGCCCGACAATCCCAAACCACCAGTTTGCGATTCAGTCGCATAGCCTCTGAAGACTCACAAGTTTTCGGAGCAGGGTTTCACCCCAGCAATATGCTCTTTTACCACTTCCCCACGGACGACCAGGGCCAGCTCACCCCTCCAAAATTCCCAAGACAGAACTGCGACTCGTTCATCTCCACATCAGATGATTCCACTTTCTCCCTCTCCTCCGACTCCAAATATCCATCCATCACGCTCAATTACCCTCAGGGCTTTGTCCCTTACGTCTACGACCCAGCAAAGGATGGTGGAGATGGTCCTGAACCTGACGATTACCTCCATGAACGAGATGTGGAGATACAGAATGAGAAGATGGGATTAGTTTGTTGGAGCTGGAGAGGTTCAGTGAATGTCGGTGCGCTCATCCTACTGGTAGCTGGTTTGCTGTCGCTCTTCTTGTTTTACCCTGTTCTGGAGTACGGGAGACACATGCGGGACTGGTCGGGAAGTGGGACTGCTGTTGTGAACGATGGAGCACCTAGCTAGGATGGCAGTGATACGGACTCTCAGCGCTTTGGATACTGGAACTTAGTGTCATTTCGGACTCACGTGTTAGAGGATACTCAGGTTATTTATCCAGCTGGACGATGTCAGACTTTCCAGTAGTCTTGGTTGTTGTATGCGTAGGCCTCGTGGTACTTGTACTGACTTCCCTTACAACGCCCCCTTCACACAGACGGTCTGCCCCTGATAGCACAATCCTGAAATAATAATGTAGCAACTTTAGACATGGGAGGTCTGGCATACTTGTTTCGGAATGTACATCTCATTTCCAATTCCGATACTTGAATCACTCTCCTCACCCGCTCGAATATCTACTGCATCACTCCCAATTACTGTGCCTCTCATGATCAGCTGCCGGTTAGTCGCGATAACTTGGAATTTCGTTTCCCTTCGTCTCTCATGGATCGGCGGGGTGTTCCTTAGCCTTACCGCATGGTGTCTACCCACAGTGGCCAACCATGGAAACACGCTTCTACCTTTCAATGCGGGGCCCGTCGGACAGAGGGATATCAACTATATCCTAATTCTGCCAGTCCTCTTCCAGGCTGTTTGTTTGGATCACAACTGTGCAGAAGTTGAGATCTGAGCTCTATTGACGTCAAGTTGCATGGACCTTTCCCATTGACAGTCACTAATGGCGAATCTCACTGTGACCATGGCCACTTCTGGATCATAGACGCATGTACTCCCGCTCCTTACCCCCTTGGAAAACATACCCTGGCCTGATCTCGATTGAGATTGGTATTCGTCAAACCCTCGTACTGGTCATCTCAACGACTGGGGATCTTCGTCTTCTGACTTTGTTCCATTCGCCTCGAGGTGCTCTGGGCTTTCGACTTTCATACGGTAGAATGTATATGCGAAGATATACTGTTGCAGTGCAACATGTGCAACCCCCGAGGAGGCCAAGAACGATGATAGTGGTACATGAAGATCAACTTCTAAACGAGCTCTTGTCCAAACATCTCAACTTCACGCCTCGGCTCATCTCCTGGTTTTCCAAGCTCCCTCGAGACCTCGCTTTGAGAACTTTTCGGCCACTTCTTGAAGTGGGGGAGGGTTCCGTTCCGCCAACTTATTCTCTCCCTTCGTGCTTGCATTATCCATCAACCCAAGGCCGCCATCACTTCCACCTCTGTTCCCAAGCTCACCAGGTGCCTCGGCGTTTCGTACAGCAGCGCTCTCACCCACCCCACTATCATTTCGGGGTACCATACGCGACAATGTCGGATGCGCGGGGTTCGGGCTCGTAGAGCTATGGGGCAAGTCCATGACTTCGGGTCGTTCTGTGGCGACGAAGTTTTCGTATGGCGCTGATGTGGGGTATGCGCCGGATGGTACTTCGTATGGTGTATCTGCAGGGTCTGGCTGAGAGACAACGTATGTCTGGGTGCCATTATGCGACGTTTGCGGCTCGGCTGTGTGGTGGTGTGCGTCCTTCTCGTATATTGATGATACGGTGGATGTCGGGGATGGGGGGAGGGTCAAGGGGGATGTATCGGAGAGTGTGATGAATGGCGAGTGGAACGACCGGGCTGCGGTGACTGCAGCGGGGCCTGGAAGACGCGCCCTGGAAAGCGAGCGGGCGTGGTGGGTGAATGCACGGATGGCCGACATGGTGGTGGATGAAAAAGAGAGCTGTCTAGACGATGTTGAGAATAGAAGTGGTACTTATACCTTTGATGCTGCCCCCCAAAACACCGTGACGCGGTCATGGGGTTTGGAGTTGTCGTATTTGGATCTGCGTCATCAGTGCGACCAATTTAACCTTTCGATTACCCCTTTTAGATCTCCAATCTTATCTCCTCGTTGTCTGTTGCTTCTCTGCCTGATTGAATCAACAGGCCTGCCGTTTCCGTCCTTTCCACGAACTTGTTTGTTGGCGGAGATCATTTTGCTGCGTATCCTTGCTGCCTATTGCCTTCACGTACAGAGATCCCCCAAGTACCAGTTGTCACGACTGTTCAGGGTCATGCAAACCCCAAAGATATCAATGGCAATCTTGATTCGTTCGTTGTTGGGATCGTTCGTCTTCGGAGTTCGCACGAAATGGGTCGCCCCCACTTTCAGTCTTGAAGGAAACTTATAAATTCAGTCAAACAGGAAAATCGCTACGGAGTAGATCCTGGACACGGGAAGATGAGTGTATTGTACGAGGTGGACAGGAAACACCGCTCGCACAACATCCCACTAAATGCAGCAACTGAAATGATGGAATCCGTTAGAAAGAGCGCCAAAGTCAAATCAATTCCAGCTGGTTGCATATCAATAGTCGAAGTGACGCCGTTTCCGCTCAGGGATCTTTATACGAGCACAGCATACCAAACAGTAATCAGCCCACATTTGTGAGGGACACCGTGGCAACACCAGTTTGTTGCGAGATTTTTGTTCATGTTGGGGCGAGCTCCTGATGGCCCACTGAGTTTCTACCATCTTAGGAAAGCTTTCTCAGCAGTGTCCCTGAGCGCAACGGGGGGACTTTGGACCATTGATATGCAACTAGCTGTCAACGCGAAGTTATGCTCCAAAACCTACGCATCCCGGTACGGTAGGCGGGATGGCCGAGGTTCAAATTCGTTTCAGGTCGAGCATTCCGCGTTCGACCCCGGCTGGGAACCTAACCTGGATGAATATTTATTTCTCCTGCTGGCATACGACGAGTCAACCAGGGGCTGGGGGCTTAGCTTTCAACTTCGAGAGGTTGGTTGTATTGTAGCCAGTTGATGGATCATAAAATATCACAAAATTCACAAAAAAAGGATTTTTATCATGTCATTCATCAAGCAGGGATGGGATGGAGCCATTTATTGAGACTCTGGCTACAGTACAGTTGCTAGTAGTAATTGAGAAAGAGAAGCGGAGAGATAGGGCCGGGAAGGAGTGGATATGGAGGTTGGGAAGGGGAGGAGGTGGAAAGAGGAGGAGGAATGGGAAGAGAATAAGAGGAGGAGAATGAGGGGAGTGGAGAGGGGGAGGAGGAGAGGGAAGAGGGTAGGGGCAAATAGGAAATCAATTAGCAATAAAAGGAACTCGTCACCAACAGGATTTGAACCTGTGCCCTCAAAGAGGAACAGATAAGTTTTCATTCGAATCTGTCGCCTTAACCACTCGGCCATAGTGACGTTAAAAGCCTTGCACCATCGAGGAGATATCATATTCGGCGCGTCTCCCAAATCAAGGTAGGGGACATTGTTCGCTCACTATCCCAACACTATCCCCTTCATTCATCGAAACACGAATGATTGTCTCAAAGGCGATGCATTGGACTCTCAGGGGGTCACATACTGGCCAGTCTCTGGGTGTAATTCCATGTTCGAAAATTCCCAAACATCAGGCTCATGAATTCTCTTCCAAGGTATACGTCATGATATTCAGATAGTCGACAGCTAAGATTGCCTCGGAGGAACATCCATCTCTTCAACAGAGGTATGGTACTTTCCAATCACTCGCCTTCGACCCCTCTGTCGCGCTCTTTCTCGTATCTCCATCTCCCCCATTTTCTGCCTCTTCACATCCCGCAATATCCCAATCACAACCTTGGCCCCGTGAAAATCTCCGCGTAGATGGAAAGCCTTGATAAACATCCGATACAAGGGCCTAACATGCCTCTTGAAAGATAATTGTTGGTCTATGGTCGGTAGGCGAAACTTGTGAGGAAAGGCAGAGGGCGCCGTGCCAAAGGGAGCCTTGCCACCGCGCGATCCTGCCGGATAGCCATTCCGTATCAGGTGATCGAATAAACCTCGAACGAGGTCAGCATCAACCGCGGTGTCCCACCGTAGAATCGCCTTCACGACGATGTTGGCTGTGACGCGGTCAGGAATAAACCCGTGTTCCTTGATCAAGGAATCCAGCGACGACAAGATCTTTCGCACTTGTCTGGCATTGCGAACAGACCGACGGAGGAGATGGGTGTGTAATATCATATTCCCCAGGACAGTGCGTAACGGAGGATCTATTTCCGAGCGAACACGGTCGAATAACTTCAGTGCTGCTCGGATCCGTCCAGCTTGAAGCGTCATATGGAGGGCGTAGCGAATGAACGTCGGATTGCTGTCGGTGCCTAGGCGCCTTAACAACCAGAGGGAGGCGACCATGTTGGGCTTCGACCTCTCATACAAAAGCCTGGTTGGCGACACGTAAGGAAATCGGGTTGGTGCTACCTGTCTCAGTATTGTCGCCGTTCGAGAGGCCATCCGGCTAGCTCGTCCCCAAAACAATGCATAAAGCAGCCTTGAGTGCCAGAGTGGAGCTTCGTATGGCCTGGACTTGATAACAGAGGCGACAAAACGAGCAGCTAATCGGTATTGTCGATGGGTGAGGAGGACCTTCAAGTATCGAAAGTAGAAGCCCTTCGAGGGATGGGTCGGTGAAGCTTGATGAATGGCTTGTACAGTCGAAAAGACGGGCTTGACGAAGCCACACCGCGACAAGACGATGCAAATATATTCCACTCCTCCGCGAAATTCCTGAAAGAGCGAGGCGACGGATATCTTGCCCAACACGTCAACGAGAGCGGCACTGATTTGTGGATGGAGGTAAACTGATCGACGCTGAGCCAGCGCAAGGCATATGTGACCGAACAATTTGGAGATTTGTGCATCCGATAGCCGGTTGTCCGTCAAAATATGGATCGCAGGATCGAGATGACCTAGCGAAAGGAACTGTCTCCCTCGTGCAAACATCACTTCCCCAGACAAGGTAATCCCGGATCTACTCGCTAAAAGAAAGAGCGCTTCCGAGGAATCCGAGCGTCTACGCATCAGCCGACACAGGACCATGCAACCGATTGTCGATCGCCATGATGCGTCGCCCTCCATAATATCCCCAAATGGTGAGAAGAGCGAATCCCATTCACGCGTCCCGCATCCAACGGACGCAACCATGTGTTCGATGATCACAGACTCCACGACTCGTCGACGTCCCAAGTCGACGGGACATAATGACGAGGATAAGAAGTAGTTATGGCAGGTATTCTTCAAGTGAGGGTCACCGATGATGCCAGAAAGTCGGAGGAATATGGAGAGGACTGAGGCGACGACGAAGGGGGGCCTGCAATCATCATCAACCGACACCCAAGTCTGCCAGACGGTGGAGAGAAGTTGCCGAATCCCTCCCTTGGTATCATCGGAGATTGGTAGATTGCCCCCAAAGGACTTGTCCAAAAGACCCAAGACCAACACAACTTGCCAATCCACTTCGACGCGCGTCACATTTGGATGACTACATGACCACATCGCTCCGTCCAATGGAGGATGTGCGTCAGGATCCGTATGCAGCATACCTAACAGGAGAAGATTGTTCCACTGAAGCGTGAACCCTTCATCGGCCGGATCCAACGAGAAAATGCGGGACCCTGTACTGATCAACCAATCCTTGGCTTGAGCATGGAGAGATACAGCCAGACATTCTGGCGACGAAAAGATTGCGTCGCTGAGACATCGAACCAAGCTCCTGCAGGTCAAGGGAACATGGCGTTCCGTGCCCTTCTCCTTCTCTTCCACGATCACTGGATGGGTGTCTTCAAAGCCCTGGAGATTCTTCGCAAGACGTCCTGACAGGGTGCTGAGCAACAAGCTCTTCAACGGTTTCGGTAGGGTGTTCCCGTATCGGAGGGCGATGTGGAAGAAAAACTCGACATATAGCGGATGGCACCATTCTAGGCGAGACATTAGAGCGCATATATGCTCCGTTGTCTCGTGGAGACATGTTGAGCCATGAGATACCAGGGCCTCCAGATACGGTAAGTGAACCTCCGGGTCGCAGATGAAGGGGAAGAGGCGAGAGTAGTGAACTCGGGCAGCCGAAGGGATATCGGCGGATATGGCTTTAAGAAACGGTGTTAATGGATATTACAGTCAGAGACGTCATGACACGTACGGTGGGAAGGTGAACGACAGTCAGCCTGGCGCCGTGCAGTCTCGATGTGAGCTCGCATGGCCCAGTACCGATCTGAGTGACTAAGATCCGATCCCGATCCCTCCTTATCACCCACAAGTTCGAGGATGACCGACCAATGAGGACGAAACGAATGTTTGTCCATCTGGGATGCGAAGGGCTGGATATAGACACAGTCGGGGAGGGGTTGGCCCGGAGACGAGATTGACAAAGATCCAAGGAGGGAGATTAGGATGGTCTTATTGCTAGAAGTGAGACAGTGGAGCTCGGAGCGAGACTTTACGTGGAGGTATAATGATATCAGGGTATCAGCAGTGTATTTCGTGGGCGTAGGAGAGGCAAGATTGCGCCAATACAAGAATGTGTGGAGTAAATCGCTGGGTAGGGGCGCGGTAGGTCGTACATTATGAACACGAAGGGGAACCGTTGGCGTGTGGTTCCGGTTCTCCTTCAGGCGTGATGCTGGCGAGACGGGAGGAATAAGAGGTGAAGCGACGTGATCCGGTGCTTCATGACCTCCTCCAGGCGGGCCAGCGACGTGGGTCGGGGGACGAGATGTCGTCTTGGAAGTGGCATGCGTACGAGCTCTCTCCACGCCCGACAAACAGACGGGAGAGCTTGACGGCCCGACAAAGGCCGAAGGGGTCACCACACAACGAACATCAGCAAGGTCTAGCTCATGCGAGGGTGATGCACTTTTGGAGTCCACTGCCAGCGTGAGTGGACCGATATGAGCTGCATGGGCAATACGTCGAGGGTGTCTTAACGGTGCGACGGATGCATAAAATCTACAGATATATCAGTACAAGACAATCTCGAAACGAAGAGATAGCTCACCGAATGGGCAAGGGGGGTGTGCCGCGTCCTCCGACAGTTCGGAGGGTCGACAGGCCCCATCGCAACATTCCATTGCATGAGGTTTGCAGGTTTCGAGGACGCGACTGAATGCGATGTTGACCAGTACAGCGACCAAATCAGAACATAGGACAGGTCTATGCAACCGTGACCGTGTGAGCAGCTGAAATCAACAGACTTTACGAGTCCGGCCGATGCTGGTCTGTGCGCTGGCGTCCTCGCTGTGGCGGACAACGAGGACCGGTTTGCTCCTGCTTGGTCTATCACGTGGCAGCCTTGAACCTTAAATCGCTAACTGCACAACACAACAAATCTGGAAATTCAGCGTTCCTCCTCCACCGTCATATCCTCAGACCAGTCGCCTTGAAAAATCCGTTGACACGCCTGGTATGTTATTCTCGCAGCGCACGGACACTTATGCTGACAAGCGGCAAGGCGTAGAGGTCAATCGGGAGGCACTAGTTACACACCAACTCACCCATACATCCAACGTGAGTACGAATGCGAGGGAGGAAATATTCGCAACAGCTGAATCCCACGACAGCTAACTAGAATCTACAATGGGTGCCACTCGCGCGCAGAAGGAAGTGTACTTCGTTAAGTTGAAGGAGCTTATCATCAAGTACCGTGAGTGTGGAGGTTTCCTTGACAAGATCACATCCTGACCTCTGTTTTTAGCCTCCATCTTCCTCGTCAACGTCGACAATGTCGGTTCCAACCAGATGCATCAGATCCGTGTCGCCCTCCGTGGCAAGGGTGTCGTGCTCATGGGCAAGAATACCATGGTTCGCCGAGCCATCCGTACCATCATCGCCGAGTTCCCCCACCTCGAGCGTCTCCTCCCTCACGTCAAAGGCAACATCGGCTTCGTCTTCACCAGTGACGACTTGAAAGACATCCGTGGTATCATCACCGCCAACAAAGTCGCCGCCCCCGCTCGTGCTGGTGCCCTCGCTCCCAAGGATGTTTTCGTCGCCGCCGGCAACACCGGTATGGAGCCCGGAAAGACCTCTTTCTTCCAGGCCCTCGGTATTCCCACCAAGATCGCTCGTGGTACCATCGAAATCGTTTCCGACATCAAGGTCGTCACCGCCGGTACCCGTGTCGGTCCCTCCGAGGCCGCCTTGTTGAACATGTTGGGCATCTCTCCGTTCACCTACGGAATGTCAGTTGTCCAGATTTTCGACTCTGGAAACGTGTTCGCCCCCGAAGTCCTGGATATCGGTGACGATGAGATTTTGGGTCGCTTCACCACTGGTATCAAGACCCTCGCTGCCTTGTCCTTGGCCCTCCACTACCCCACCCTTGTCTCCGTTGCCCACTCCCTCGTCAACTCTTACAAGAACCTCATTGCGATTGCTCTCGCCAC